TGTTCATTTCGTGATAGAAAGTGTCCTTGACTGCATTAGAACTGCAGTCGGTGGGAGCATAAGCAGAAATCACAAACAAACAGCGTTTTGTTTTACTTCGCGAATTCACCTTAGCTGATGTCGTCAAATGGGCTGCACATAAACGACTGTTCACCGGAATCCAATCAACCAACGATGACTCAGCCTTGGAGCTGAGAATGATACCTACACCAGCTTGACCGGTGAGTGCCGCATCGGCGTCTCCGGATGCGTGCAACCAATAACGAGAGGATAAGCCGGGTGCAGTCAATTCAATAACCCCGTTAGGGTCATTAATCCTAGTTTCGGACACACAACACACATCAACACCCAGTGTGTCCAAGGTGCGTGCGAGTGCAGCCTGCTGAGCTGTTTGTCTTAGAGTGCGGACGTTGAAGGTCGCCATGGAAACGGGACAGCGTGGTCTTATAAGGGACTTTTGCCGATAGGCGTCCGATAGATGCTGTGGGATGGTGGCTGCAGATGGTACTACTCCAGTAGCACTTCGGTTGCTGTCAATTAAGCTGGGAGTTATAGAAGGAAGGTTAGTAATAGGGGCCGGGATGGGAGTAAGAGAAAAATGTGGAAAAGAAAGAAGGGAGGCGCCAGCAGTAGCATGCTTTCGCTTATCCGCCCTGCTGTATGCAGCAGATAAGGCGACCCTTGATAATCTGCGCGACGGCCGATGCAGGATGAATTTTATGTTTGAAGAAAATGTCATGGTTGTATGTGGGCTGGGATACTGCCAGGGCGCCCAGACCTAGACAGGAGAACGATTAGGGTCCTCATCCAAAGCCTTTGGCTCAAAAGCCTGTCCGCAAGGCAGCGGGGTGGCAGTGATTTAGTTTTACAGAAATGGACGCCATCGCATTTCGAACCCCCAACCTGGAGGACCAGGAGACTGAGTTTGTCTGACCTCTCACCATTGACCAACCTGGTAGGAGTAGCTCTCAAGATGCTCGAAGGCATCACCCAGTATAGCTCAATGGGTCAATGAAGTACGCAAACCGTCGCACCACGTTAAGGTCCAGTCTCGTTGCGACGTCTACGTGGATGAGAGCCACCGGATGGACCACATCCGTGGTTGGAAACTTTATCGGAAATGGCGCAGTCGCGCAGTCAGTGACACTCCTACCTTCGCTTTCTTGCATCTAGCTGTTGATTTCCGATCCCGCAGAGTTTTACCCACTTTTTATGGATTCTTGTTTTATCTTTTGCGTTCCACGTTGTTTTCTTATTGTTGTTATTTATGGTTATCCTGGCGACGTGGCAACAAGAACTACCGCATTTCCGTGCCCGGCTCACAGTTTGTTCAACTGAACTGGGAATCCACAGTCCACTTCGAAGTCACATCCGGTTGCACTTTTACCATTATGCATTTCTTGCTTTTTCGAGTGTTGACCTTCTTCCGCCTTGTTCAAATCCACCATCGTTTCCCTTACAAGCATATTGGCATAGCGCTGTCATACTTCGACTAATTCGCCTCTGTCTTCTATTTGGTCATATATCCTTCAAGCTTTGTCTAATACCGATTCTTTTCCGCATCATTTGTAGGACCAGACTAACCCAATATACATATTCACACGCGCGAAAGAAAACGATGACACCGTACAGAAGCCCGATGTTCTAACAGTCAACGGTGAGCTTCTAAACTTTACCATTTGTTTTCCGTTCACATCTTATACGTTGTTTGTGTAACGTCATTTTGCTTGAACTTCGTGTTACCCTCCGCCCACTATTCTTTGACTTCCAGGATGGGCACAGTCGGACTGTCTATTCACGCCCCTTCATATCGCTTCTATCATTACTTGGCATTACCGGGGATTAGCTTTTCGCACCAAACCTTATACTCGGGAGCTATTTTTTCTTTTCGATGTCATTAAACTTTCCCTTTCTTCAGTCCCCTCTCCCCAGAATGGGTCATCAGAGGCTTCCAGTGACGTGTGCTGGCTCCCTTTGCTTGCACTGCTGCCATCGTCTCATCTGAGTGCAGGCATGTATGTGTGCACACCTGATCGTACTCTCTCTCTTTCTCATCTACTTTCGGATAGTTTAGATTCCAAACGGCCAAACTGCTATCACCTTTTCCTATCCTGATGATCTCTGTTTCTGGATGGGTTCACTATCTATCCGTGAATCCTTGGCGACCAACTTAATGGAACAAAGCATTGACAACGAGTGAAATAACAAATATCCGACAAGTTTCGTAGGCGAAATGGGGTAAAATGTAAGGTACATGTGCCGATAGACCCCCTTGTATAGTCCATATGTACACCTAAGTTGATCACCTTGTGTTTTGGCAAAAATACTATACTAAATCATGTAGCACATGTAGCAACCTAGGAAATGAGCGAACTCGGAAGAGCGTTTCACGCCTGGCACACACGAGGGGAGAATAACTTTCGGCAGAATTCCAACTGACTTTATCGTGTCGCCAGCTTTGACCGGTTCCCTCTCAGTGGGGTGTTGTGGTTGCGTTTTATTAAGTGCCAGCGTGTGTGGTGTGGATCTTTGAGTATCTGATACACCAATATGAGATCACCTTGCCTACGACGATACTGTCAGCTAAAAACTGCTTGGACCTTCATTCTAAATTGATGATGGAGGTGGAGCAAGTCCTTAACATCTGTAGTCGCTCTATTTGGAGAGGTCTCAAGCACAGTAAAGTTCTACTTGTGCCAGAGCTGTCAAATCTGCTTGGGGTACTCCACATAGCACCTCGCGTAATTGTTGAAAGTTTTGTAGTATGGTTGCACAACCTTAACACTCTCTACAGAAGTCCCAAGCATTGACTAACTTTTCTTGCTGCTTTTCAATCTATATTGAGTAACCTAACTGATCGTGTGATGGCGCTGCAGAGGATTCGTTGTGAGCCATAACTCGCGGGTGCTCTGATAGCTTATATGTAAAATAAATGAATGGTATATTCCTCGGCGATTCGAGGTGTAGTCCAACTATGTGGTCTGATCAATGTGCACAACAGGATCGCAAAAAATAATCAATTTGTTCACGCTTTTTACAATGGATCCAAAATGGGTGTTAAAATTATTCGAAGAAAGTAGAAGCCACGATTAAAATTCACGCACAATAATATGCCTCGACGGGGAGTCGAACCCCGGTCCACGAATTTCCGGTCCGTTGCTCTACCACCTGAGCTACCGAGGGCTGACGATTAGGTGCGCAAATTTTAACACATGTCTTCTGCTTGGTGCGCGACGTGTTGCCATTAAGCTCACAGTACCTGTCCTGATGTTGCAGATTGGCTCACTCACCCGTCACTTCCCAATAGACCGAAGTTCCTGTCCTTCAGACGTCCGATGGGCGATGGTAGATTAATGGTGGATGTTTGTGAGTAGTGTAAAGTTCAGGTGGTAGAGCAACGGACCGGAAATTCGTGGACCGGGGTTCGACTCCCCGTCGAGGCATATTATTGTGCGTGAATTTTAATCGTGGCTTCTACTTTCTTCGAACTTTACACTACTCACAAACATCCACCGTTAAAATTATTGGCAGGTTTAAGGTATTAAAAAAATTGTAAACCCAGGAACAATAACGAATGCAGATTAAATACAAATGTCCAGGTAAAGTATACGGCCACTCCTGGAACCGTCCCCAACGGACTTACTTCCATGCAAGGTATTCCCTTGAAAGTTTTTGCGCGCACTTCCATGCTTACCTGGCCGCATACCGGTGTGGCATAGTAGCATATGAGCCATCACCTGTTTATCCTATGTTGTGTTCTTTTTAGGGTTGCTTTTATACATATATTATGGGCGATGAAGCCTCAGCCCAGTCCGTCATGCGGATCATTCAATTATGGCACTTTTTCTACGCCAGTCAATTTGTGCCAATATGCCTTGCATAGGTAAAGTCTTTTATAATCTGGGAGCTATAATCCGTCACCAGAGGAGATCAGCCCCGTCGTGGCCAACAATGAAATAAGGAAGCATGTGGAAGAAGAAAAATTGTGTGAGGTACTATATCATTAATGTAAAAAAATAAGCAGGTGTTTTTTACATCAGCGTAAAAATGGATCGAGCCGATCATACGATCAAATTGTGCAGCGTGACAGCCGGAGACAAATAACTACGAGTTGTCCATAGGCAAAAAGTCACATAGGGAATCCGTTATTGCCATCACTGAATTCCATTATATGTTTCTGGACTGTTAACTCCAGAAAAAAATTGGAAATGATTGGCATTGCAGAACAAATGTAGCGAAGGGAATCGCAGAACAATATTACGAATTAATCAATTTTTGGGAAAAAATACGAAAAATGTTCCCGGCCCCACACCAGTAAATAGTGTTGCTTTCGGTTTTAAACAGTAGGCAGTTGATATGAATTAAGTTTGTAAGTAGTAAAACCGCATAGGAGGTAGCATTAAAGAATAGCATAAGAAGCGATTGTAACAGCTCATCCTAGATGATCATGTTTGTTCTGGTACATTTGTTGGATATGTTTCGAGTCGATGTTCTCCGTTATCATACATGATCCGGCCCTTCTTCATACAGCTTCTCATCATCAATTTGCATTTTTAAGATATATTTCACTTTACCAGTTGACAGATAAACCTTTATCATTTTCTTGAACATGCAAAAATCTTCAATAAATCTAATCTCTTTTGGCAGCTTATTCCATATGGAGCCATAACTGAGAAGGTAGAAATTTCTCCTCAGGCTGATCTTGAACTTAGGTAACGAAAGTATACGATGGTTATTCAATAAATAAGGTGAATTTTTCAATATAAGGACTTCTAATACAGATAGAAGCTTACTTTTTGTCTATTTTTGTTGTTTTACTTCTTTTTCACATGGATGTAAACTCTTTTGCAGATTGAAAAAAAACTTTGCAAGTTGTAGCGATTAACAAAGATGGTCAACCAAACCGCATGCTCCAGGATTGAACAGCGGTCAGTGATCAAGTTTTTGGTTGCTGAAGAGTGCAAACCAGTTGAAATTCATAGGAGAATGTCAACTGTGTATGGTGCCACATGTTTCAGCCGAAAAAATGTCTACAAGTGGGCAAAATTGTTTAAAAAAGGACGGAGCAGTGTTGAGGATGAAGACAGGCCTGGGAGGCCTACAGAAGGGAGGTCTCCTGAGATGATCGAATCAGTCAATGACCTCATTCAGTCGGACAGAAGGGCGACAGTGGATGACATTGCAAGGACTTTGAGCTTATCTGTTGCGGCGGCACACAAAAATTGTCCATGTCATTCACTGTCACCCTTCTGTCCAACTGAATGAGGCCATTGACTGATTCGATCACCTCAGGGGACCTCACTTCTGTAGGCCTCCCAGATCTGTCTTCATCCTCAAAACTACTCCGTCCTTCTTTAAACAATTTTGCCCACTTGTAGACATTTTTTCGGCTGAAACATGTGGCACCATACACAGTTGACATTCTCCCATGAATTTCAACTGGTTTGCACTCTTCAGCAACCAAAAACTTGATCACTGACCGCTGTTCAATCCTGGAGCATGCTTTTTGGTCGGCCATCTTTGTTAATCGCTGCAATTCTCAAAGTTTTTTCAATCTGCAAAAGAGTTTACATCCATGTGAAAAAGAAGTAAAACAACAAAAATAGACAAAAAGTAAGCTTCTATCTGTATTAGAAGTCCTTATATTGAAAAATTCACCTTATTTATTGAATGACCATCGTACATCACTATCTCGTAGTTCATAAATGGTATTATCCCGAAAGTGCAATTGATAGGTTCCAACATATGCTTTCCGCCACACGAGTTTGTGGAGGACGCACAGATTTAATTGCATTCTTCGTAACCACAGAGGTTCAAGATTCAACTGCTTGCACCTATCTCTGTATGAAAGAGCGGTTGAATAGACAAATATGCGCTTCGTAAAGGCGCATTGAACGCTTTCAATGGCTCTCAAGTCACCTTTTTGCAAGTTACTGAATGTAACGCGGCAATATTTAAGCGAAGGCCTGATACTGCTTTTGAAAGCAATTAGTCTGATTTCTTTCGAGGTTAGCAGGTGGCATATGAGCCCGATCGATTGCTTAGCCTTTTTCACGATATGGTTTGTATGGTCGCTAAAGTTTAACGAACTGGAGTATCTTAAACCTAAATCACGAACAGACTGACTGATGGGATTGATTTCGTCATGAAGCCTGAACAATTATGCTGCTATCTGACATCCATACACCAGAATACTACACTTCGATGTTGCAAACATCGTCTGCTACATATCAGCCCATCTCTCAATGGCTTTCAAGTCACTTTGTGTATTGTTAAGTTCAGCGGTACGCTGAGAACCTGGGAACGTGTAAACCACCTTTAAATCATCAGCAAACAAATAAGGCTTCCCAAATTGCATAACAGGAACCAGGTCATTTATATACAGTAGGAAGAGTAACGGGCTTAAGACACTGCCATGTACCACTCCATTGGTGACCAGACGAGGTGAAGAGATGTAACCACTGATATCCATAACTTGCGACCGTCCTACTAGGTACGATTGAATCCATGCATGAAGCGGATTTGTAACACCGTACTTACTTAATTTTTATAGCAGCTTTTTGTGTGGGACTCGGTCAAACGTTTTTTGCATGTCTAGGAAGATGACAATGCGTTGAAAACCTGAGTCAATTGCTTCAGTTAGATGGTTATGGAAGT